ACAAAACTTTATGAAAATAAAAAACTGAAGTAAATATTGATAGGAAAGGAAGCAAAACACCTAAATAACTTTCCCCAGCGAAAAGAAAAAACATCTCAATAATATTGTACATATGATATTGAATAATACGTGCCATGAGAAGTCCTTGATTATTATGTGTAATGAGGGTCCCTTCATTTACTGCGACTGAGATTGAATGCTATTCTAGATAGAGACATGACATGCAGTTAATTTTGTCCCACAATTTTGCTAATTACATGATCCCGTGCAGGACGTCAGCTTGGCTTGTCTGTTTTGTGCGCCAATAAAATACTTAATAAATTATTAAACATGCTTGAGCGTAACTAGTTAATTAGTTAATTGCCATCAATGGTGTATACCAAAATCAAGGTTAAGCTAGATTTGAACGATGTGCCCTGTCGGTTTAGTGATATTTTTTGGTAAGCACGTCTCAACCCCTAGCCCTTGGATTAGTAAACTAGCTTCATTTGTAGATAGAAATAAATTGTCTACCTGGGTTCTTCTTGCCTAGCTGCATCAACTTTCTATTTTTTCTTTTGCTTCTTATTCTGAGATTTACTAAGAACTAAAGTAAAGTCATTGGGATCTTTCCCTGCATCCACAACATTGATCTCTTGCATCGAACCAAAACCAGGTAGGACATCCCCATCATTATCTGAATCTACGTGATCAATATTATTTTCTTTAGTAGGCTCATCACCAATCTCCCTTGAAAGAGTATTGTTCAAATTACGAGGATGGGAAACAAAGGTGTTATCAATATTATTTATATTTGTTGGTTGTAACTCTAGTCGCAATTTGTCTGAAATTGTCTCGATGCTCTGCCGACGAAGCAATTGTCCTGTTGGCCAACACACTTTACTCATTATTCACAACACTCATTAGGATATGATTCACAAAATCGTTGACTTGCTCAACATGGTGTTGCTTGAGGAGCTACAAAGTGGGACCTTCATATTTTTAAGTGTTGGGCATTAAAAATTTGTTTGGTAAGATTATTTTAAAAAATTGAACTCAATGCTAACTTAAATATATAACTTATTCTCTAAAAATACAAAAAATGAGTTTTTAAACTAAAAGTTCACTCATTTCGTTATCCTCTCCTCCCCTCTCACTCCAAATCTCTCTCTCTCTCTCTCTTCTTCTATCTCTCTCCTTTTTTTTTCTTTTCTTCTTTCTCTCTCCTCCAATTCCCTTTCTTCATTCTCTCTCTTCTTTTTCTCTTTCCTCATCTCTATCTTCTCCGATTCTCTTTTATTTTTTTTCATCATCTCTCCTCTTTCTCCTTCTCATGCCACTCTTTCTCTTTTGATCTCTTTGTCCAGTTTAAGTTTTAAGATTTAAAAATTTTAAATCTCATAACAAACAAGTATTGAGTCTTAAAGAAAATTGCTTTTAAAAAATATTCTTCATAAATGTTTGAAAAACCAAAGAACTTTTGAATAGGATACTAAACAGGTCTTAAATTTCTCGTCCCCAAACTCAATTTTATGTGAACCAAACGCCTCTTGATTAGTTGCTATCCATGCATGAATTGGACCAGAGCGACCGCGCATGTGTAATGAATTCTTGAATATAGTCACAATATTGTTTTATTCCTTCTGATGACTTTTCCAACAGACAAGGTTTGTCATGCAGTCTAGCTAATTCTTTTCTCCATGGTTTGAACTTTCGAAGTCAAGGGAGGTTAATCTACTTGCCGACACATAAAAGTTAAAGGAATTAACTCGGCTCTTCAACGAATGAGGAGATATTTCCTCTCAATTCATTACGTGATGGATTTACGGAATTTTATATTTATGGTTCAAACGGTCATATTATAATTATTGTCACAGTCCGTCCCAAAGTTTTACACTCGTGATTGTAAATTGACGGAATTGCCCTTAAACGTGATTAAGATATGTGAATTATATATTGGTGAAATATATTAGTTGAAACGCTATGCATAAAAGTATATGAAATATATATGGAAATGTAAATCGAATTGCCATGCATGAAATGATATGAATCAAATGAGATGAATTGTTATATGATGCATATGAATGAATGGTGCGGCGGACGCACAGGTGAGTATCAGGTGAGTATTTAATTACTGTTATGATGATGTTGATGTATATTGAGCTCAAATCCTGCACCATGGTTTAGTGCTTATAGTATTCACCGCATCGCACGCTCGCCTTGGATCCAAGTAGATGCTGGTCGCACAGTCCACGCGGAGTGGGTGCGACGGGCCAGTCGTAGAGTGTTAGTGAGATTTCGACTGGTGGGTGACCTTAGATTATGTGCACAGATGATTGATGAGAAAGCACTAGAGCGTAACTTGTGTGCAGAAGGCCGGACAGGTCACAGAGGTGACTGCGGTAGAGTGAGAGTGATAGATTTTGAGCTCTAGGTTCAACCGTACAGGGCTATTAGAGGGCCTCCGGTTGATTACTTTCTTGCACCTGATATGATTATTGTTGATGCATCCATACTTAACTGTTGAATTAGACATGGCATGGCATGATTGATAAAGAAAAATGTTGAGATAGTAAAAATGAAGTTTTGAGAATATATATGTATATTTATATTTTACATTTCTGGGAAAGTATACAAGTTTTACGGAGAGGGGTTACAACGTTTTGAGAAATGTTTGGATTTGGAAAAGAATTGTTTACTGACCCACTCAATTTTGGTTTTGCGCCCCTCCAGGTTCAGGAATCACAAAGGTGTGGTGACTACGAGGAATTCGACGGTGTTCTGACGGAATTGGACAAAATTAGGACTCACCTTCGGGTGTATCAACTTATAAATTGTATAATTAAAGCTTCCGTACTGTGCAAATGGTTACGTCACTCTCACGTGACGGCCAGCATGCCCTCCTTCGGGACGGGGTGTGTCAATTATTGTGTAAAATTATTTTTACAAAAAATCAATTAAATATCAAATCATTTAGGTCATCAAACTGTATAAAAACAGATAGATGGATTCGATAAAAAATTAAGAAATGTCTATCTATTTATTACAATTGATTAACCTAACAACTGTAGTTTTAATTGATTTTTTTTAGTATAGATAATTTTTACAAAGTGATTTATAATATAAACAATTTTGATCATGAATTCTGTGTAAATCAAAAACTAAGTGAATTTAGAAAAAAATTTATCCTCAATTTTGAGCAGCCAAGTCTTGCTCAAAGTTAAAAGCAAAACCTTAGAGATGGTTATTATTGGGAGGAAAGGAAGCAAAACACCTAAATAATTTTCAGCAACAAAATGGTAAAACACCTCAATAATTTTGTACGTATGGATTGTATAATACATGTCGTGAAAAGTCCTCGATTATTATGTGTAATGAGGGTCCCTTCATTTACTGCGACAGACATTGAATTGTATTCTAGCCCTGTATAATATGACATGCAGTTAATTTTGTCCTACAATTTGGTAAAGTATAGCGTAATGCTAGATAGTTAAATTTATAGACAAAATTTAATAAATAATATAAAAGTTGATGATTAGATTATTATTTAAATGTTGATAAACATGTTTATTTTCTATTGATAACACATCATTTAGTTTATAAATTTAGTTTTTAGGTTATTCTAAAGTATGAAAATGATCCTATGCGGTACGTTAGCTTGTCTTGTCTATTTGTGCGCCAATAAAATAGTAAATAAACTATTAAACATGCTTTAGTGTAACTAGTTTACTAATTAATTGTCATCAATGGCGTATATTTGTTGGTAAGCACGTCTCAAGCCCCAGCCCTCGGATCAGTAATACAGAAACTTCACTATATAGTTGGACAGCAAATCAATCACCCATGCTTCACCAAAAAGGAACACAATCAAGTACTTACACGTGAAAGTGTTGTATTCGACAGAGACGGATAATGTGGTCCAACTCAGTCCACCCGGGCGGTTGTTCAGAAATTTTATTGCCTCACGTTTCACTTAAATTAGAATATGTGATTTGGGATAGGTTGTTTATGTTTGTTAAGCTTTTGTTGTTAATTGCTGAGCTTTTTTGTTGTACATATTTGCATTGCATGCTTGTTTTTTTATTTTGTTGCATGTTTTTTGTATGTATTTTGATGGACACGGCTCATTATGTCCCTGTATTAGGTATATATCTGTTACTTATTAACGAAATTTACTCGTGCTCTTAAGTTTTGTTCATTATGATTTTATTTATTCCCAATATATTTTAAATGTTTATATTTTTTAGTCGAGAATGTCAGAAGCAATATTTAGAGGCTCTTGTAGCCTACCAGAGAAAAAAAATTCTTGGCTCCCTCCTTGGTATTTGATTTGTGCTCCCTCAATATCACTTGACACGGTTTTTTTTGTAGATGAATGTAAGATATCGATAATATAGAATTAAAGCGTACAAACTGAAAATAAGGTGCATAAAAAAGTCTCGATAAAAACCTTGTCAGGATTTCAACCCGATGAAAAAGAAATAGAGTCCCATACAACCAAACTTTAAAGTTAGTATCCTCACACAGTAAAGGAAATTACAAATTACTCATCATATTGCCAATTGAGCATTACATTATCACAATCAACTACTCCAGATCTCATGGCTCTGATACCATGTAAAGATACTAACACTTGCAGATTTTAAGAGAGATGAGAGAGAGAGAGAGATTTTGTATTGGTAAAAATGCTTTCTTTGTTAAGTTGTGAAGGTTTACAATGATCACCTATATAGGTGTTTTAGTACAAAGCTTGCATAGCAAGTAATCCTTGTTAACCACCTCCTTATATCAACTAACTCTATCTCTAACCAACTTTATCCAAGTCCACCAGATTCTAACCACTAACTATACGTATAACAGCCTATTTAATCTCTTGACAAGTGGCTTTATTTTGACCATTGATAATCTCATCACTTGGATCACAATCTTGCACCTTATCCTTCATACAATTTTATGGTGGAACCCGAGAGGAAATTTCTAACTTTTTTCAAGAAATAATTTATTGCTATAAAACGTCAGGTGGGTTGGGGGGCTCATAGCCTCATATATATCATAAGTAACGCTCGAAGAAAATGGCAAGATTTCTCATCGTGCTCGTACTAATCCTTTGGTTCTGCTTTTCATCAATTGTTAAAGTTGAAGCACAATCTCAATCTGCCCGTCTTGCTCCCAGAGAAGGTAGCAAGTCACTCTTCGTCTTCCTTTTCTTTTACTTCTTAATATCCTTTCAAGGGGTTTCACGTGCAAGCCCTGCACCCTTCATATGTTGAAATTGTTCTATATATATATACCATATGGATTACAACGCAAGAAAAATATTTGCTATATTTTTGACATTAGATATACACTCTTTTTAGTTCTCACACACCCATGTTTAACCCTATTTGTTGTTTCATTGAATTTATTCATTCCAATAATCAGAAATAAAGAGTGGTGTGTGAGATGCTAAAATGTGTGTGAAAAATAGCTCCCTTTCCCTTTCGGCTTTTCTTTTTGGTATATTCCAATCCCCCTGTGTTTTTTTCTTAAAAAAATGGGACCAGCTGATGGTTTCGCCACGACAGTCCACCCTTTCGGAGGCCGAAAAGAATCACAAAGGCATTTCAGCCTCCCCTAACCACCATCTTGTGATTCACCAGTGCCAAAAATCGAACTCAGAATGTGCTGTGTGGAATATGGTCCTGTAATTCGTCCTCAATCACTGGGTCATATCCCGTGGTTGATCGATCCCCTGTGTTTTGACACGTAAACAATGAAAATCAGTTTTGTTCCCAAAACGGGAATGCCAGGGAAAGAACAATAAAATAGGAAAATTGATGGATTTATTTTATGTGCGCAGTGGAAGCACTTAAAGAAATACGTACACAACTGGGGAAGAAAGACTGGAACTTCAGCATAGATCCATGCAGCAATAGCACAAATTGGGCTACCCCAAAATCTGCTGATTTCATACAACAACACTCTCATTTGCAACTGTTCCTACCCTGCTGATGGTTTTTGCCATGTTGTCAGCCTGTATATTTTCTTGTCGCTTATCCAGTTTTCTTACTTACACAAACGAGAAAAAGAAATGAAAGAACAAGAAATTATTAGGGATAATGTTAGAGTTCATAGGACGGTCCAGAATAAAGCCGACGTAAACTTTTTTTGCATGAGCTCTAACATTTTGTAATACAGTTTTCTCAAAGGACAAGATCTTGCTGGTGTACTTCCACCATCCATTGCGAAGTTACCCTACCTAACAAAAGTGTAAGGGAAATCTTTTTAGTTGTATATTTTGAGTTGTTAGTATTATTAATTATTACCAATATCTTTGCTCCTGTTTACAGTGATTTCACAAAGAACTACCTAAGCGGTACTATACCACGTGAATGGGCTTCGACAAAGTTGGAATTTCTGTAAATGATTTCTCAACTTCATGTTCAAGGTTAGCCATTTGTAGCTTATACTAATTGAACTAACAAAATGAGTACAATATGCAGGTCCATTACTGTGAACAACTTAACGGGACAGATCCCTGACTACTTGGGAAACATTACCACCCTAATTTATATGTATGCTTTGGCTTAATCTCTCGCTACAACCTCATATTTAATGTAAAAATGAATTTTAAGTCACTCGGTGTAGCGTACTGTGATGACTGATGAAGGAAAATTTGTTTTCAGGAGCCTAGAAAATAACAAGTTTTCTGGATCTGTTCCTCCTGAACTTGGGAAATTGGTTAACTTGAACAATCTGTAAGCTTTTATTTAATTTGAGATAACTTGTATAAGCAAGTACGAGTTGATAATTGGCATTGGTATCTACACAGCATTCTGAATGCAAACAATCTCACGGGAGAGCTACCGCAGCATCTCACTAATCTGACCAAGTTAACAGAACTGTGTGTTTGTACCCTTTTTCTTTCTGATTATTACTTTATAAATCAGTAATAAATATTCGGATTTATTGTATTCCTAATTGTGTTTGTACAGTAGGATTAGCATTAACAACTTCACTGGAAAAATACCTGATTTTTTTCAAAGTTGGAAGAACCTTAATATGTTGTAAGTGATTCCTTTTGCATCTTCTCTAATTTGTCAAGGCATATCTTTTCTAGTGTAATATCTATCTGTTTTGAGTTTTGAATTCTGTCGTTTACAGAGAGATCCAAGCTAGTGGCTTCCAAGGTCCAATTCCGCCTAGCATTTCTGTCTTGAGTAGTTTAACAGAACTGTGAGTTCTGCAGTCAATACTAATTAAGTTCCGTTATCACCAAAGAACCTTAATCTGTCTTTAAAAGTTACTTTCTCTCACAATGTTTTTTCGTTTTTTTGCTTTTCTTAAAAATGATTCATGATCATGATGTGATGTGATGCAGAAGAATCAGTGACATTAAAAATGACGGGGACTCAGAATTTCCAAACTTGAAGAGCATGCCAAAGATGCTTAATTTGTAAGTCTTGAAAGTTGCAATTTTCTAATAGTTTTAGACTAATCAATACCTAGCTGCAGTTTTGCTAATCTATAGTCATGTTGCAGAATGCTGAGGAGCTGTAATTTATCTGGACACATCCCCGATTACATACAAAACTTAACAAACTTGAAAACATTGTAATACGTACACATTGTTCTTCAATTTTCAATTCGGTTTTTACTTGTTCAAGTGCATAGAAAGATTATTAATTTGAAATCTTCTTGTTCACAAGTTGGTTAATGAGTTCATTCTCTTCGGTTAAGCATCCCAGTAACAAACTTTGAGTTGTTGCAGAGATCTCAGCTTCAACAGATTGGAAGGTAGTGTTCCTGATATGTCAGCCGCACGCTTGGAGTGGTTGTAAGAAACATCAAAATTTCATAGTCATTTGTTTATATAGTCATTATTTCGGCAGTGTAACCACCTTTTTGGAGCGGTAAATATATAGTTTAACTGTATGTGACTACGTAATTGTATTCTGAATAGATATCTCACAAGCAACTTGCTCACTGGGCCTATTCCAGGCTGGATCAACAAGACGGATATTAAAACGTATGTTTTCCATCATATTATCTGATTGCTGGAGTTTGTCTTTCCATTGCATCCGGCGCGAAGCAATATATACTCTATATTCTTCTAATATTCATTGTAATGTTTCACACATTCTGGGAACATATGCTTTGGGCGTACTGTTTGCATATGCTGATTAATATCTAGCACGATTAACAGAAGCCTATTTGTGCCTTGAAATATGTATGGCGCATTTACTAATACGTAATAGTAATTGAATTGAGGAGGAATCACAATCAGATTTTTATGAAGTCGTTTATTAAACTGCTTGAAATCGAAATAGGAATGATGTTGATTCTATAAAAGCTATTTACCGAATATCTCTGAATCGGAATTAGAACCAGTATAATTACTAAACTATCTGTGTTCTAAATAAATTAATTTATGTACTAGGTAATAACTATAATTTTCATAATAACATATACTTACAAATTGTAAAACTTTCTACCTCTTTAAAATAGAATCTATAACTTTTTTTGCCCATTTTCCACCTCTTTAAAACTTTATTTTTTTCATTTAAAAAAAAAACCCATTTCGTTGTAATACTAATATCGCTCTACAATTAAGCCTTTCTCCAAACTGCTATAAATACACCTTAGGCAAACTAGGCATTTATAATATATGTGAGGGTATAATGGGTAAAAATCATGGATTCTATCGCACCCAACTTTTGGAATTCAATTCCCACCTCCACCAAGGAGTCCAATTCCTACAAAAGGAGGAGTTGAATTCCATTTGTCACGTGGGTTCTATATATTCTTGATTCTTTCATGTCTTAATAAATACAAGAATAATTCATAATCGAAATCAAATTCCTTATTTTCATTCCGTCTATGGGTGCGTAAATATATGGCATCCACTGAATCTCATCATTGACTAGGATTTTCTATCATTAATTAATCATTTTAGCACACAACTCTACGGATACTTTTAACATTTATACATTTCTAGTGATGGTATACTGGCTTACAAATTTACTGTATTTGTGCGCAGCCAGATAGACCTTTCTTACAACAATTTTTCTGAGAACTCTGAGCCAACTACTTGTAGAGAACAATTGTAAGAACAGTTTTCTTTTAGTTGACATGCATAGTACAGTTCACTGTCATCACTCGCCATTTTCCTGTGGAACTAACTGATTTGGCATGTGTGTATATATATATATATATATATATATATATATATATATATATATATATATATATACATCAGGAACTTGTTCAAAAGCTTTTCTGCACGAAACAACTCGTAAGCTTCGAACTTGATTAGACTTCAACGATGAAGCGATTTACTTTTTTCTTTTCATTATGTCAACTTCAAATTGACATAAACTGATTTTAACTACACTGATGTAGATTATTTGGAGGGTGCCTAGAAAGTTTTCCATGTCCAAAAGGTAAACAAAATATCTCTAAGAAGATATAATTTTAAGTTACACTTTTTAGTTACCCCAACTAGGATAATTAAAGTTTTCATCGACATGATGGAACAGGGTTTTTAAGACAATATTTTGTTTCATTTCTCTACTCAAGTATTTTCTATAATCTAATTATAATTCATATGATATTGATTATATTTGAAGAGCGGTACTCTTTACATATAAACTGTGGAGGAAAGGCAACCACCATTGGAGGAATTGACTTCGAAGCGGATACATATCCAGGTGGGGCAGCAAAGTTCATTCCTGTAAGAGCTTTATGGGGAATAAGTACCACTGGACATTTCTGGGATTCTAAGCCCACCTTTAATGACTACATAGCTAATAATGTGTCCATACAAAGGAACGACTCGGAGTTGTACATGAGTGCGCGTCTATCTCCTCTTTCTCTCACGTATTATGTACGCTGCTTAAGAAATGAAAAGTATACCGTGAAACTTCACTTTTCGGAGATAATAATCAGAGGCAATAAATCGTTTTACAGTCTTGGAAGACGGATATTTGATGTCTATATTCAGGTACTCAAACAAATCTTTGTGCATGCACTTTTTGTATATCCTACTTAAGATGAATTCTTTGATTTATGAAGTTTGTTGCAGGAGGAACTGGTGTGGGAGGATTTTGAGATCGAAAAGGAAGCACATGGGGTTGACAGGGCAATCATTAAGGAACGTAAAGCAGTTCAAGTTAATGATACAACTTTAGAGATCCGATTTCATTGGTCAGGGAAAGGGACAACAACTTCCCCACACAGAGGAGTATACGGTCCTCTTATATCAGCTATCTCGGTAGACCCTGGTATATTCTAAACTTGCGAACTCTCTCAAAACTTACTGTGTATGTATGGCTGATATAAGAGGACCATATACTCACGATAGCAAAACTTCTATCATTCATGATTTGGTTTTTCATTTCTTTTACAAAATTTTAGAGTATAAGACTCCTCACGATAGCAAAAGCAAGGTACTAATCACGGTCGGAACTTCAGTTGGAGCTTCGGTTGTGTGCCTTTTCTTGACTTTAGGCATTCTCTGGTGGAGAGGCTGTCTAGAAAGCAAAACATCAAGGGAAAAAGGTATTACTAAGCCATTGTGAAAGTGCATTTGTCTCAATCTTTCAAATGCCATGTTGCTAGGAAATACACTGTGTCTCAAAGTTCAAAAGAAGTATTGCAAATGCTTATACCAATATTATGATCTTGTTCTTTGGACAGCTTTAAGAGGACTGGATCTGCAAACTGGTTTTTTCACCTTCAGGCAAATTAAAGCTGCTACTAACAACTTTGATCCTGAAAACAAAATTGGGGAAGGTGGTTTTGGGTCTGTCTACAAGGTACCGTACAATCTAACCTGCGTACTTTCCCTTATTTTTGTGTGTCGTCAATTAACATTAGGCTTTTACGGAAAATGCAGGGTATATTGTTGGATGGTACTATAATCGCGGTTAAGCAACTATCATCAAAATCAAAGCAAGGAAACCGGGAATTTGTGAATGAAATAGGCATGGTATCTGCTTTGCATCATCCAAATCTTGTTAGATTGTATGGGTGTTGTATTGAATCAAACCAATTATTGTTGGTATATGAATACATGGAGAATAATAGCCTTGCACATACTTTGTTCGGTAAGCTTAATTATCAAGTTTAGTAACAAAATTACACAGGAATGGTGAATTAAAAGGACCTGGAAATTCATGTTTGTTTCAGGTCCAGAGGAAGGTCCATTAAAGCTGGACTGGTCTACAAGGCTGAAAATATGCATTATAGCAAGAGGTCTGGCTTTTTTGCATGAAGAGTCGCCACTGAAGGTTGTACATAGAGACATTAAAGCTACAAATATATTGCTAGACCAAGACCTCAATGCAAAGATCTCTGACTTCGGTTTGGCCAAACTTGACGAAGAGGAGAACACTCACATTAGCACCAGAGTTGCTGGAACCATGTAAGCTTGCTGCTACTATATTCTACGTGCTTATTTATTGAAATGTCCCCTAGAACTAATGTCGTGTCTAACTCCTTGAAACTAAATTTGTTGTGCAGAGGATACATGGCTCCAGAATATGCACTATGGGGTTATTTAACATATAAAGCAGATGTCTACAGTTTTGGTGTCGTTGCATTGGAAATTGTTGCTGGAAAGAACAATATGAAATATCGACCAAATGAGAACTTCGTATGCCTTGTGGATTGGGTAAGATCTTCATTCTAAGAGCTTGAGTATATGTCAACGTTGCGTAGCTAATCTCGGCTAGTCTTTTTTATCTGCTTATTTCAGGCTCTTGTTTTACAACAAAAGGGGAACTTAATAGAGCTAGTGGATCCAAGGTTGGGGTCCGATTTTGAAGTGGAAGAGGCAATTACAATGGTCAAGGTAGCGCTCTTATGCATCAATCCAGCACCAGCTCTCAGGCCGACCATGTCTGCAGTAGTGAGCATGCTTGAAGGACGGACACTTGTTCGTGAATCAGTCATGAACCCAAATATTTACGGCGATGAACTGAAGTTAGCATCCTTGAGAAACCCGTTTGATCTGACTGCACCGGGGGGTACAAGTGGAACTCAGAGCCTTGTTGGTTCATCAGATGCAACGTGTATTAATTCTTCTGCTACCACGTCCTCAGATCTCTATAAAATTGGTCCTAGTAGTAGTACATCTACTTAGTAATTAACGTAAACCTTGTTATGCGTTCAAGTATGCAAATTCTCGTGTACTGATAAGTAGTACGTTCACTTTCCAATATCAAAGCTTCAGCTTCGTACTTTTGATTACAACTTTGGGTGCAAGAATAAACGCTTTTAATCAATTGAGCCAACTCTAAATGGTTTGCTACATTTGCGAAGTAGAAGCTCTATGTAACAAAGAAAGTGGAGAAAGAAAAAATACAGTAATTTTAAGTGATTCAAATTCAGTCCAATCATTACGTATATGATTGTCAGGATCAAGCTGTCAATTTTCCACTTGACATGGTTTAAGTTGTAAGGAATTACAGCAGGGACAAAAGGTTGAATAATTCAAAGTTCGTTTTTCTGGCTTAAGATGCAACATGGATTGGTGGTTAAAGGAGGCCAACTCTTGCTTTTGTATACATGGAATATTCATACAAAAAGTCTAGGAAGATGTGAACGGTTAGATTATGGTTACGGATTTTAATTAGTCAGACTATATTATTTGTTTAACCACTAATTAGGCAGACAATTAAGGTGCACTAAATTGTGGTTTATGATACACGATTTATTATTTGTTTAACCATTAATAGTTCTATTCCGTAGTTGGTATTCGTAAATGTTTCTTTTTATGCATATTAGCCCAAAGATCTCTTGCTAAACGCTCTCTAACTACGTTTAGCAGAACATAAATTTTTTCAAGTCATAAAACCGTTTTATAGACAAACGCAGGTTAGATGACCTTTTTAAATGCACTTTCAAGTAATTTTACACCAACTACATGAATTTTTAATAAAAATTTTACTACATACTTTTCTCATTTTTTTTTTTTTTTTGAAAAATTTTACTACATTCTTAAGTTTATAACAAAAACATTTGTAACATACACATGCTTTCTACAAATGCATTCCCTTTACGATAACCGATCTAAGCATAACATTCCCCATAATTAGTAACCACGCCCACATCATAATTATAAACCAAGTTCTTTAACTACATTAATATACTATTAGGAATGTTCTTAGCACTATAAAATTTTCATTCTACATTTTTCATAAGTGTATTTTTTTTCAATTACAAAAAGTTTAGAGTGCAAATAAAATGTTCTTTTTGAAGTGCATGTAACAATTCCGTACTATTAATAATTTAATATTCAATCGAAAACCATGTGGGACCCCATCATGTGTGCCTCGACAAGATTTTTCCTTCTTTAATTCTATTATAATATTCTAGAGCCATTCAACCAAGAGATTTTTCAAAGTATTTGAACACAGAGCAATATACCAAGTATCATTATACAAGTGGTAAGATAGTGTTAAAAAATTCAGAACTTAAAAGATAAAAATTATGTCCGCTTACATAATAACACATATTGTATCATTTGTATTTTAGACACAATGAAAATATTTTTCCATTCAACCATGTCTTTATCTTCTAGAGGTGCGACTGAGTTGTGACTTTCAGCCATTCAACAACATCTGCCTCTTCAGAAAGTTCAAAAATTGAAAATTCTTCTAATTGAAAAATTGAATAGTCTTATTCAAAAGTTGAGCGATCCCAACTTGACATGTGTTAAAAATAACAGAAATCCTAGAGACTCTTTGGAAGTAGAATTCTCTATAAATTTTTTGCTACCTTATGTTTTTAGCACAATTTTAGTGCCAACATTGTAAAATATTGTGTCAAAAAAATGAAGTGGCGGAGAATTTCACTTTGAGAGAGTCCAACTTTAAAAGACAATACTTAGCATTTCTCTGAAAATAATAATTAACAAATTTATATTTTAATGAAGATCACAAATTAAAACTAGTCAATGAGCAAAGGTCACGAGTAAAGACTAGTTCTACCATAAATGCTAAGAAAACTCTCTTAAAAGTAAGACTCTTTATAGACTCTTTGTCATCTCATTTTGTGGCACAATTCTCGTGACAACATTATAAAATAATATGTAGAAAGAAAAAGTGACAAAGTCTATGGAGAGTTTTACTTTGAGACGATCTCCTTAGCATTTCTCCTAGTTCTAAATACTCGACAACCTACTCGACTTATGTCTCCATTATTATAAGAAAAAAGTCATAAAAATAATAATTTTAATTCAAAATGTATACTTTTGTGTCTTTATTTGTACTTGAACTTTTTCGTCTAATAATATGCTCTTTCTTTAAAACTAAAGTGGCTTTGCCACTTAGTACTACGATCTGGTGATATTCCTCATCACTTGTAAGTGAGAGGTTTTATGTTTGATTCTCACCATAGGCGAATTTGAACCATGTTATTGCTAATCTATTGTGAAATTAAGTTCACCTCCTCCCCTTAGTGTAGATAATATTGTTAGTCAAAAAAAAAAAAAAAAAACTAAAGTGGTCTTAGTTTGAGGAAACAAATCATAAAGGGTGGGAAAAAAAGTGTACTTAGAGCTTCTCACACACTCTTCTTTCTTTTTAGTTATTAGATTGAATAAGTCAAACAAAATTAACGGCTAAAATTAAAAAAGAATGTATAGGAGACTAAAAATGACATGTGTTAATTATTTTTATAAAAAAAAACACGAGGGTTTGTGTTGGGAAATTGAAATATGGCCATTTTAAAGAGCACTTATTTAAATATCAAAAATGCAAATCTTACTACATTTTTCATGCCACATTTGTATTATCTCTCTAATAGACATGATTCACATGTGTTGGTAGGCCCTACCTCCCTAAAAATGTGATACAAATGTAGTACGAAAAATATAGTAAGTATGTCATTACTCATGATCAGAAAGCTACCTGGATATCCGACAGCCGAATAAAAGATGAGCATATATGTATATATGTTTTAGTTGATTATGTGACAAACAATATTAGGAGGATCTTATAGCCCACCCGAGAAAAAAAATCTTGGCTCCTTCCTTGGTATTCGATTTACTCCCTCAATATCACTTACGAAAGAAAAGAAAAAAATGAAAGAAAAACCTCAATGTTATAAAATGTTGAAGGGTAGTCAAAGATTCATATTAAGGACACAAGCTAAACAAAGTAGTTACTAATCCTAGGGTCCATTACTTTACTTACGTGCCAAGATTCTAAGGGTCCATTATTTTGAAAAGGATAAAGAAAACACTTGGACAATCTTGTGAATAATTGGGGGAACTAGGTTGACTTGGAAGTTACTGACAAAGTGTGTTTGTACGTTCTAATCAAAGGGCCGGGGGGAGGGACCCTTCATTAATAAAGAAGATTGAGATTGATGGTCAGATGATTAATTAAGCTGGATGATATTTGCTATATAAAGTCATGTGCGTTGGGTTGGGTTGGGGGGCTCATATCATATGTAACGATAGAAGAAAATGGCAAGATTTCTCATCGTGCTCACATTGATCCTTTGCTTCTGCTTTTCATCAACAGTCAAAGCTGAAGCACAATCTCAAACTGCTCCTAGAGAAGGTAGCAAGTCACTCTTATTCTTCTTTTCTTTTTACTTCTTAATCTTTTTAAGGGCAGCTTTTTATGCACATGCCATTTTGTTGACATTGTTAATCTCACCTCAGGCAATAATTAGGAGGTTTGTATGTGCTTATAAAAGTTGAGTTACTTTCTTATTGTTTTTAGGGTAGACCTTAACTTTATTCATCTTCATATAATCTTTGAGCACTTTAGATAAAACACTTTAAACTCGATATTTTAGAAAAACACCCCAAAGTACTTTAAAGTAAGCATGCCTACTTTGCAAAACACGAAGGCACCGATATAATTTTGCAACTAAGATTACATGACAAGCGAACAGTCAGTTGAGGGGGTTTAATCCTAGTTAAGCTCTTGAAGCCTTTCTTTTTGGCATTTTATAGCGGCGAGAGTGCGTTTTTTCTAATTTGCTGTTTTGTTTATTGTTTAAGTTTGGTATTAGAAATACTGAAAATGTATCATTCAAGCTCAGTTTTTCTTCTAATGTTTTAGAATAGATAAGAATGTTCAGTAGTGCAATACTTTTCTCTTTGATTAAGAGAAGAATTGTCTTCTCAAACATGTTTGGTGTAAAGATTACACCAGTGTTAGAGCACTCCTAGTTCACTTCTCTCTTTTCTATAAATTGTCGGATAAAAAAAAAAAAAAAGAATTAAGGACAGTAAACGACAATTAAAAAATCAGTACCCTTTTTTTCTTAAAAAAATAAATTCATTACCCTTTTTAATTTTATTTTTCAAGTTGGTAACTTTTTTTTTTTAATTTTCATTTTGGCATTTTTTTTCAATGTTCAAGTTGGTAATACCAAAAGTCTATCATTTGAAGCCTCATTGTTTCTTAAATTTAAATTTAAATTTTTTGTATTTTATGGAAGTCTGGATTTTTTTACCTTGTTGAAAAGAAGAGCACTCAAGAAGATATCAGAGTGCTCAATGCCAAAATTGGTCTCTATGATTGAGAATTTTCATATTACGTACTCAACTACATGTTTTTTGTTTGTTGAACAAACGATATTATCTACGCCAACGGAGTGAGGGAGTAGGCAAAATCTTACAACAGGCTAGCAATAATGTGGTTCAAATTCGTTTTTGGCGAAAATCGAATCTAAGACCTCTGACTTACAAATGTATTTTTCTATAAAGTTCTTTTACATGAATTCCCCTTGTTTCTTTATCCTCTGAAAGTAATGGGATTCTTGAATAAGATGTTTTTAATAAAATAGAAATTTGATGGATTTATTTTGTGTGCGCAGTGGAAGTACTCAAAGAAATACTTATACAACTGGGGAAAAAAGAATGGAACTTCAGCATAGACCCATGCATCAATGACACAAATTGGTTTACCCAAAAATCTGATAAATTAACTCTCTACAACAACACTGTCATCTGCAACTGCTCCAACCCTGATGGTTTTTGCCATGTTGTCAGCATGTAGGCCAACTTTTAAACCTTATTTTTCTATATTCTACGTTCGGTTATTTATAGATTGAATTATCTCCTGTAGCGTTCCAATCCACTTTTCGTTTTTGGATAGTTCCACTATAATCCAGGCATAACATTTTATTTTGTTTTGTAATAACATTGTGTATGCTTGTAGGCAAGGCCGGTCTTGAGATTTTTTAGGCCCGCCCAACTCCAAAATGTATACCCTAACTTCATATACGAAAAAATATTTGTTTTCACACATAAGACTTCGATAAAATTGTCATTTAATATTACGGTTTAATGGTATTTCTCTTCACTTGTAAGTGAGAGGTCTCAGGTTCGATTCTCGTCAAAGGCGAATTTAAACCACATTATTGCTAGCCTATTGTGAGCCTTAGCCCACCCCTCCCTCTTAGTGTAGATAATATCGTTTTTTCAAAAAATAAATAAAAGAGACTTCGATAAATTTATGCTTAGAAAAACACTTCAAATTCAATAATTTAGAAATACGGAAAAACTAATTTTGCATTTGAGAGAAGGGAACCAAAAAACTCCGAGCTTACATGTATATAGATGATGAGTTTGTTTCCCTTTTATCTGAACTTTTAAAATGTTTTTATATAAATCGTGAGACTTTTTTTCTTATTTACTAACCTTGTCAATATGGGACTGAAAAAATAATCATATTCTCGAGTCTTTAATTGATATGTGCAAGTAATGAATGAGCACTAAATTAAATATAGTGGTGACACTTTATATGATTTGCAAATTTGGTCTAAAAAATCGATCTACACGTTACTCTCCATCGATGGTTAGACTTTTTTTTTTTTTTTGAAAGAATATTGAAAGTTAGACTTGTTTTGGAATGAATGTTTAAAAGCTGGAACCCACATAGCTAGCCAGTAATTAAAAAGAAATTAACAACCAAACAGAAATTCGTAAAAATTGAAAGAATAAACATGCACATAGCATTTCAAACTTAGGATCTCTCATTAATTTTAAACAACAAAAAACACTGCTTATGATTAAACTTCTTGATCATTTAACCAAACTTTATAAATTTATGCTCTTATGAAAAGAAATTCGTAAAAATTGAAAAGTAATAAAACACAAAATGCATTTTGAACACAAGACCTCCTTGTTAACTTTAAACAATATAAACCACCACTTTGGGTTAAACTTTTTGATTATTTGACTAAATTTTATAAATTTATACTTATATAAAAAGAAATTTTTAAAAATTGGTAAGTAAAGTAAACACATATAGTATTTCGAACTCAGGACCTTCTCATTAATTTTAGGCAACAAAAACCACTAGTTCTAGTTAAACTTCTTGGTTGTTTAACCAAATTTTACAAAACTATACTCTTATGAAAACATAAATGAATATACACCCCCAATACTTTGGTGCCGCCAATTCATTTGGGCCTTGGACAGTTGCCCAGCCACACTGGGCCGACCATGCCTGCAGGTTTTTGTAACAACATTACGGACTCTAAGACTGCATTTTAGGTTGCTATATATAATCCCCCTTTGTGTTCATAAGAGTAGATATTGAAGAAGTTGAACTTCCACTATAAAACCAATTGGCAGTACGGAGAGAAGCCAAAGTCCTTATAAGCCCTTGCATGGTTTTGTCTCTCGTCGATGCGGGACGTTGTCCTCACATTCTCACAAGCCCCCTTACGTGTGATGAATTTTCAAGCCAAACACATGCACAACACAAATTGGGTGACATTGAGCATGTGTGGTTGTTGGACTTCACACGTGGGCAAACCTGCTCTAATACCATAAAGAAGTTGAGGTTCCACCATAAAAGTCATTTGACAATATGAGTAACAACTCAACTCCTTATAAGCTCTTGCATATGGTTTGGTCCCTCACTAATGTAGGACTTTGTCCTCACTTCTCACAGATATAAAGTATTAGGATTCGTTTTGCATACAGTTTTTAAAGTTTGTGAGCCCTTGACATTTTGTGATACAGTTTTCTCAAAGGGCAAGATCTTGCTGGTGTACTTCCACTATCAATTGCAAAGTTACCCTACCTAAAAAAAGTGTAAGGAAAGGAAACATTTTCAGCTGTATATTCGCTGAAAAGTTGTTTTACATCATTTCCACAAATATTGGTGGACTAATATCTTTTCTCTTGCTTACAGTGATTTCACCCGGAACTACCTCAGCGGTACTATACCGCGTGAATGGGCTTCGACGAAGTTGGAATCTCTGTAAATGATTTCTCAACTTCATGTTCAAGGTTAGCCGTTTATACTAATAGCACTAACAAAATGAGTACACTGCAGGTCCCTTACCGTGAACAACTTAACGGGACCAATCCCTGGCTACTTGGGAAACATTACCACCCTACTCTCTCTGTATGCTCTGGCTTGATCTCCCGTTATGACCTTATATTATTTGTAATCATCCATTTTAATTTTGTGCTTGGTTTAGCGTATTGTAATGCTGATGAAAGAGAATAAGTTTGCAGGAGCTTAGAGAATAACATGTTTTCTGGAACTGTTCCTCCTGAGCTTGGGAAATTGGTTTTCTTGAATTATCTGTAAGCTTTTATTTAATTTTTAGATACCTTGAATAAGTAAGAACCAGTACTGATAAATTGGAATTGGTACCTACAGCAATCTGAATGCCAACAATCTCACAGGAGAGCTGCCCAGGGCTCTCACTAATCTGACCGAGTTAACAGAACTGTACGTGTTTGTACCCTTTTTCTTTCTTATTGTTACTTTGTAAATCCGTTACAAAATCGTAGGATTTATTGTATTTCCTGATTGCATTTATGCAGTAGGATTAGCAGTAACAAATTCACTGGAAAAATACCTGATTTTTTTCAAAGCTGGAAACAACTTCAGAAACTGTGAGCTTCCTAATCCATATTCTAAATTGTTAGGGTATATAATTTTCTGGTGTAGCATCTATCCGTTTCGACTTTTGTTGTTCAAATTGTATGTGATTTTCTTATTCCATCTTCAAAATTGTTAAGAAGTATAGCTTTTCTAGTGTAACATCTTATTCGATTTGAATTCTGTTGTTGACAGAGAGATCCAAGCTAGTGGCTTCCAAGGTCCAATTCCATCGAGCATTTCTGTCTTGAGTAATTTAAAAGAGCTGTGAGTTCTGCATTCGATCCTAAGTTGCATTAATGCTAAAATAACGTAATCTGGGTTTACATGTTTGTAATAACTTCCTATTGAACGGACCTTTTTTAATGCAGAAGGATCAGTGATATAGGTGGAGAGGGTTCAGAATTTCCACCCTTGAGTAGTATGACAAGCATGAATAGATTGTAAGTCGTGAAAGTACTGTATTTTCTTGTAATTTTAGACTAATCAATACTTAGTGCGCACTTTTGCCAATATAATGTTACAGAATGTTGAGGAGCTGTGGCTTGTCTGGAAGTATACCCCATTATATTCCAACAATGGCAAACTTGATAGTATTGTAATACTACTGTTCTCCATTTTTCATTTTGTTTTTTCTTGTTCAAGTGCGCAGAAAAATTATTTGATATCTTCTTATTCACGAGTTGGCTAACGAGTTCATTCTCTTCAGTTAATCAGGCATCCATGTAACAAAAGTTTAGTTATTTTCTTGCAGAGATCTCAGCTTCAACAATTTGGAAGGAAACATTCCTGATATGGCGGCCCTGTCAAACTTGCAGTGGCTGTAAGAAACATCAAAATTTCTTTAATTGTTTATCCAGTCAATATTTCGTCTGTGTAACTACCCCCTTGGAACAGTACTTATATAGTTTAACTGAATGTGACCATATATTAATTGTTTCCGGAATAGATATCTCACAAGCAACTTGCTCACTGGGCCTATTCCAGACTGGATCATGAAGAGACATCGTAAAACGTATGTTTTCCATCATATTACCAGATTGCTAGAGTTTGTTTTTCCATGGAATCCGGCAACGATATATTCTTCTAATTCATTGTTATGTTACACATAACGGGTATATACGCTTTGGATGTACTGTTTGCGTAGATTGACAGAAGCATATATTTGTGTTTCTTGAAACATTTAGCTGACCAAAGACTAAGATTTTCTGTCATAATCATTTTAGCAGACAAATTTATAGACACTTTAACATTTACTTTTCTAGTAGAGGCCGGTATAATGGCTTACGAATTTACTGTGAATGTGTGCAGCCAGATGGATCTTTCTTACAATAATTTTTCTCAGATCTCCGAGCAGCCAACTACTTGTAGAGAACAATTGTAAGAACAGTTTTCTTTTAGTTGATGTGCTCAGCAAAGTTCACTGTTTTCACTCACCTGAGTCACCTCTAATTTTCTTTTGGACCATGTATATATCAGGAACTTGTTCAAAAGCTTTTTCGGACAAGGCAACTCGTAAGGTTTCTAACTAGATTAGTCTTCAACATGGGAGCGATTTTCTTTTCCTTTTCATTATGTCAACTTCAAGTTTACATAATAAGCTAATTTCACTACACTAATGTAGATTATCTGGAGGGTGCCTGGAAAAAATTTCATGTCCAAAAGGTAAACAACATATGTATTAGATTTAAAATATGATTATAATTTATACTTTTTTAGTACGTACCCAACTGGGATAATTACAGTTTTCATCAAATAGATGATGGGAAAGGGTATTTTCTGTATAATCTGACTATAATTGATATGATATTGATTATCTTTGAAGAGGAGTACTCATTACATATTAACTGTGGAGGAAGTAAAACCACTGTTGGAGGAATCGTATTTGAAGAGGATCAAGACCCGGGTGGTGATTCACGTTTTGTTGCGGTGATACCTAATTGGGGAATCAGTACCACTGGACATTTTTGGGACGTTAACGCCACCCAGCCGTACATTACAAATAATATGTCCGTGCTTGAATTGAACAACTCAGAGTTGTACACGAGTGCACGCCTATCTCCTCTCTCTCTCACATATTATGCACGCTGCTTGGGGAATGGAAATTATACCGTGAAACTTCACTTTTCGGAGATAATAATCAGAGGCAACAAATCTTTTCACAGTTTAGGAAGGCGGATATTTGATGTCTATATTCAGGTAGTTAACTGCACCTTATTTTGTGCGCTCTATCATTATGCTACTGAAGATGAATTCTCTGATTGATAAAGTTTGTTACAGGAGAAACTAGTGTGGAAGGATTTTGACATAAAAAAGGAAGCACAAGGGGTTGATAGGGTAGTCGTTAAGGAACTTAAAGCAGTTCAAGTTAAGGATAAAACTTTACTGATCCGGTTTAAGTGGTCTGGGAAAGGGACAACAACTTCCCCAAAGAGAGGAACATATGGTCCTCTTATATCAGCTATCTCTGTAGACTCTGGTATCTTCTAAATTGCAGCTCTCTCTCTCTCTCACACACACGCAAACATGCGAAAGTTTGTTTACTTTGGATTTATATGCCCTCTGTACGGCTGTAGATCATAGAAAGGAGCCTTTATATGTCGTTCATGACTTTGTTTTTCATTTCTTTTACAAATTTTGTAGAGTTCAAGCCTCCAAGTAGCAAAAGCAAAATACCTATTGTGGTTGGAACTTCAGTTGGAGCTTTTGTTGTGTGCCTTATTTTCTTGATTCTTTGGTGGAGAGGCAGTCTTGGTAGCAAGACATCAAGGGAGAAAGGTACTACTAATTAAGCTACTGTGAAAGTTTGATGTAGTACCTTGGTGATGCAGAAACATTTGGATAGGAGACATGATCATCTATGCATTTATATCTAAATAAGTATTGATGCATCGAATTGGAAGTAATTTTGGGTTTGGCTTTATTACCTAGGGTCTTAATAAATTCCTGGCTAGGCTCAATGTGTTGGGACTATTGGGATTCAGCCTTTTCACCTTATATTTTCTTGTAAGCCTAGATGGCTGGGCAGTTTTTGAATCTTAAAGTAAAAGTAAAGAGTTTATTCTCTTCTGCTCTATCAACTTGGGTATTCCATAGGAATCAACAATTTTCTTTGTTCTTGCTGTTCTCATTTGTGTGAATCAACAAGAATTTAGGGTTTATTGTGTTCTAGAGTTTCTGTCCTTTTTCCTATATTATTCGTTGCATCACTTGGTCAAATTCCATGTTGCTAGGAAATACACTCTCAGGCTCTAAGTTCAAAAGAAATATCGTAAATGTATAAGATATTACCAATTTTCTGACTTTGTTCTTTGGACAGTTCTAAGAGGACTGGATCTGCAAACTGGTTTTTTCACCTTCAGGCAAATTAAAGCTGCCACTAACAACTTTGATCCCGAAAACAAAATCGGGGAAGGCGGTTTTGGGTCTGTCTACAAGGTACCGTTTAATCCAACCTGCGTCTTTTCCCGTACTTTTGTGTGTCCTGAATTAACTATTTGGCTTTTACGTAAAATGCAGGGTATATTGTTGGATGGTACTATAATCGCGGTTAAGCAACTATCATCAAAATCAAAGCAAGGAAATCGGGAATTTGTGAATGAAATAGGCATGATATCTGCTTTGCATCATCCAAATCTTGTCAGATTGTATGGATGTTGTATTGAATCAAACCAATTACTGTTGGTATATGAATACATGGAAAATAATAGCCTTGCACATACTTTGTTTGGTAAGCTTAGTTATCAAGTTTAGTAACAAAATTACACAGGAATGGTGAATTAAAAGGACCTGGAAATTCATGTTTGTTTCAGGTCCAGAGGAAGGTCCATTAAAGCTGGACTGGTCTACAAGGCAGAAAATATGCATAGGTATAGCAAGAGGTCTGACTTTTTTGCATGAGGAGTCGCCACTGAAGGTTGTACATAGAGACATTAAAGCTACAAATATATTGCTAGACCAAGACCTCAACGCAAAGATCTCTGACTTTGGTTTGGCCAAGCTTGACGAAGAGGAGAACACTCACATTAGCACCAGAGTTGCTGGAACCATGTAAGCGTGCTGCTACTATATTCTACATGCTTATTTATTGAAATGTCCCCTGGAACTAATGTCTTGTCTAACTCCTTGAAACTGAATTTGTTGTGTAGAGGATACATGGCTCCAGAATATGCACTATGGGGTTATTTAACATATAAAGCAGATGTTTACAGCTTTGGTGTAGTTGCATTGGAAATTGTTGCTGGAAAGAACAACATGAAATATCGACCAAATGAGAACTTCGTATGCCTTGTGGATTGGGTAAGATCGTCATTCTAAGAGCTTGAGTACATGTCAACGTTGAGTAGCTAATCTCGGCTAGTCTTTTTTATCTGCTTATTTCAGGCTCTTGTTTTACAACAAAAGGGGAACTTAATAGAGCTAGTGGATCCAAGGTTGGGGTCCGATTTTGAAGTGGAAGAGGTGATTACAATGGTCAAGGTAGCTCTCTTATGCATCAATCCAGCCCCAGCTCTCAGGCCGACCATGTCTGCAGTAGTGAGCATGCTTGAAGGACGGACACTTGTTCGTGAATCGGTCATGAACCCAAATATTTACGGCGATGAACTGAAGTTAGCAACCTTGAGAAACCCGTTTGATCCGACTGCACAGGGGGTTACAAGTGGAACTCAGAGCCTTGTTGGTTCATCAGATGCAACATGGGTTAATTCTTCTGCTGCCACGTCCTCAGATCTCTATAAAATTGGTCCTAGTAGTAGTACATCTACTTAGTAATTAACGTAAACCTTGTTATGGGCTCAAGTATGCATATTCTCGTGTAATGATAAGTAGTACGTACACTTTCCAATATCAAAGCTTCAGCTTCATACTTTTGATTACAACTTTGGATGCAAGAATAAACGCTTTTAATCAATTGAGGCAACTCTAAATGGTTTGCTACATTCGCGAAGTAGAAGTTCTATGTAACAAACCAATTGGAGAAAGAAATGATACAGTAATTTTAATTCAAATTCAGTCCAATTTTTATGTATATGATTGTCAGGATCAAGCTGTCAATTTTCCACTTGCCATGGTTTAAGTTCTAAGGAATTACAGCAGGGACGCAAGGTTGAATAATTCAAAGTTGGTTTTTCTCGCTCAATATGCAATATGGATTGGTTCTTGTAGAATTTTTCAAGTCGACGGGCCAAGGGCCCACTCTAACAACATCGATACTGTCCCCACTTAACTACCTACACAATCCTCAGGTGTGGGGTTTTATCACAAAAGGTCTTGATATTAGTTAGAGTGGCATTTTTTATTTATTTACTAGCGTTTTCAATATGGGACTGAAAAAAATAATCATTGATGAGTAGATTTTATATTATATATTTTACCCTAATCTTAGTATATTTTGGTTAATATTTTGGAAGAATTTTGATACTTTGAATTGTATTTTCAATATATTCAATATAGGACTTTCGACTTCCTCTGGAGAAAAACAGGATCAAATGGACGAATTTTGGAGTAATTCCAGTTGGAGGACGTTCGTGAGTCACTTAGCTTAATCGTATCAAAATTTGGGATTTTTCCACCAAGCGGTTATTTTCTAGCGATGAAATAAAGAAGCAGTGTGCAGTGCTGAAAAATGACGTTTTTGGGCTTAAATGACGTTTTTGGAGCCCAAGATGACCTCGGATGGGTTCGTGGCCTTCTGGAAAAGTGTTCAGAATATTTCAAACATTAAATCCAGCTATATTGGGCCAGTTTTGGAGCAGCTTATGGGCCAAAACGTGACTGTTCAGATTTTAGACGAATTTTATCATTTAATTTAGGGTTATGTTTCCTAGGGTTTTTGGGATGGCTTGGCAGATATATTGTTTGGCCGTCTACAGTTTTTCTCTACGCTTTATTTTATGCAATATTGGAGACAGAGAGAAGTGCTAGGGTTTTGAAGATTTTCTACTTGAAGGTGTTTTCAATCTTTTTCTTAATAGATATTTCTATGATTTCAATTATGAATATGCGGAACTAATTTCTTTTGCTAGGGCGAAGCCTTGAGCCTTAGCAGGAATATGTGATTTTTATTTAATTGCTTATGATCGATTGCATGCGTACTTTGAATTGTTAATCACCGGGATAAAAACTATCTAATTGTCGTAATGCCTGATCACCATTAGGATCTTTAGAAAAGTAATTTGATGCAATTTTGGTCGGAAGGTTCCCTGAAATTGACGCTGGCTTCTTGTGATTAATAATTGTAATTTCTCTTAGGATGAATATCACGTCTTAAGGATTACATGGTTTTTCAAAGGATTTTCATAAAGCATAATGAGTCTTTCATGTTTAGATTTGATCCGAACGTCCGGACGGGTTGCATGTTAGATATACGTTCTATGTTGGAGGTTCCAAGTAGAATATGAATTAGAAAAATCTAACCTTCAAAATGGCATATTTAGATTATAAGTAATGGGTAAAAATTCATAGGATTGCTAGGTGATGGTGGAACCCTAGTGCTTTCTTAATTTTATTCTCCCAAAACTGTTTTCTTTTCTCTCTAGCTCTAATATTGCAGATTGTTTATTTTAATTCATTAATTTCCTTTTTATTTTAATTAGGTTATAAAATCAATCACTTCAATTTCTACTTTACAATAATTAAATGGAATCTGATTAGTTCGAATTATTTAGTAATCCCTGTGGAGACGACCTTGCGAGATCCGTTTATACTACAATAACCTTGTGATTCTTGCAAGTAAAATAGGAGATTTAAGCCCTTTCACATGAGTAGTAAAAATCCTATCAATCATATTCTCAAGTCTTTAATTGATATGTGCAAGTAATGAATGAACACTAAATTAAACATAGTGGTGACACGTCATATGATTTGTAAATTCGGTCTACACATTACTCTCTATTGATGGTTAGACTATTTTTTTTTTTGAAAGAATATTGAAAGTTAGACTTGTATTGGAATAAAAGTTTAAAAGTTGTAACCCACATAGCTACTAGCCAGTAATTAAAAAGAAATTAACAACCAAAAAGAAATTCGTAAAAATTGGAAGAATAAACATGCACATAGCATTTCAAATTTAGGACCTCTCATTAATTTTAAACAACAACAAAATTGCTTATGATTAAACTTCTTGATCATTTAACCAAACTTTATAAATTTATACTCTTATGAAAAGAAATTCATAAAAATTGAAAAATAATAATACACAAAATGCATTTTGAACACAAGGCCTCCTTGTTAATTTTAAACAACATAAACCACCACTTTTGCTTGAACTTTTTTATTATTTAACCAAATTTTATAAATTTATATTCTTATAAAAAGAAATTTGTAAAAATTGGAAAGTAAAGTAAACACATATAGTGTTTCGAAACCAGGACCTTCTCATTAATTTTAAGCAACAAAAACCACCAGTTCTAATTAAACTTCTTGATTCTTTAACCAAATTTTACAAAATTATACTCTTATGAAAACATAAATAAATATACAACCCCAATAGCTTTGGTGCACCCAATTCTTTTGGGCCTTGGACAGTCGTCGAACCCACAGTGGGCCAGGGTCGACCATGCCTGCAAGTTTTTGTAACAACATTACAGACTCTAAGACTGCATTTTAGGTTGCTATATATAATTCCCCTCTTTGTTCATAAAAGTAGATATTGAAGAAATTGAACTTCCGCTATAAAACCAATTGACAATACGAGAAGGAGCCAAAGTCCTTATAAGCCCTTGTATGGTTTGGTCCCTCGCCGATGCGGGACGTTGTCCTCACATTCTCACAAGCCCCTTACGTGTGATGAATTTTCAAACCAAACATGTGCACAACACAAATTGGGTGGCGTTGAGCATATGTGGCGGTTGGACTTCACATGTGAGCAAACTTGCTCTGATACCATAAAGAAGTTAAGGTTCCATTATAAAAGCCATTTGGCAATATGGGTAGCAACTCAACTCCTTGTAAGCTCTTGCATATGGTTTGGTCCCTCACTAATGTAGGACTTGATCCTCACTTCTCACAGATATAAAGTATTAGGATTCCTTCTGCGTACAGTTTTTAAAGTTTGTGAGCTGACATTTTGTGATACAGTTTTCTTACAGGGCAAGATCTTGCTGGTGTACTTCCATCATCAGTTGCAAAGTTACCCTACCTAAAAGAAGTGTAAGGAAAGGAAACATTTTCAGCTGTATATTCGCTGAAAAGTTGTTTTACATCATTTCCACAAATATTGGACTATTATCTTTTCTCTTCTTTACAGTGATTTCACCCGGAACTACCTCAGCGGTACTATACCGCGTGAATGGGCTTCGACGAAGTTGGAATATCTGTAAATGATTTCTCAACTTCATGTTCAAGGTTAACCGTTTATACTAATAGCATTAACAAAATGAGTACAATGCAGGTCCCTTGCCGTGAACAACTTAACGGGACCAATCCCTAGCTACTTGGGAAACATTACCACCCTAATCCAAATGTATGCTCTGGCTTGATCTCTCGTTATGACCTTGTATTATTTGTAATCATCAATTTTAATTTTGCGCTTGGTTTAGCGTATTGTAATGCTGATGAAAGAGAATAAGTTTGCAGGAGCTTAGAGAATAACATGTTTTCTGGAACTGTTCCTCCTGAGCTTGGGAAATTGGTTTTCTTGAATTATCTGTAAGCTTTTATTTAATTTTTAGATACCTTGAATAAGTAAGAACCAGTACTGATAAATTGGCATTGGTACCTACAGCAATCTGAATGCCAACAATCTCACAGGAGAGCTGCCCAGGGCTCTCACTAATCTGACCGAGTTAACAGAACTGTACGTGTTTGTACCCTTTTTCTTTCTTATTGTTACTTCGTAAATCCGTTACAAAATCGTAGGATTTATTGTATTTCCTGATTGCATTTATGCAGTAGGATTAGCAGTAACAAATTCACTGGAAAAATACCTGATTTTTTTCAAAGCTGGAAACAACTTCAGAAACGGTGAGCTTCCTATTCCATATTCTAAATTGTTAGGGTATATAATTTTCGGTGTAACATCTATCTGTTTCGACTTCTGTTGTTCAAATTGTTTGTGATTTTCTTATTCCATCTTCAAAATTGTTAAGAAGTATAGCTTTTTCTAGTGTAACATCTTATTCATTTTGAATTCTGTTTGTTGACAGAGAGATCCAAGCTAGTGGCTGTTGAAATGTAATCTTGTTCTTAGCCCAAGAAGATGATCCAGCCCATAGAAAACTCATGAAATGTGCTAGAAAATGCTAGCAAAAGGTTGTCGGTGCATTAGGCATGCATACTAAAAAATCTGGAGAGTTCTTGCAATAATTAAGTAGGCTTGCAAGTAGAAATATCTAGAATAATTAAAACTTGTGGCTAGGAAGAACTTAGTCCAATTGCACCGACTTGGTGAGTCGGTTAATGCTTGCCTATAAATTTAGGTGTGTGTGTTGCATGTAGCAAGAAGAAGTGAGAGCAAGTAAGAGAGCAAGAAGTGAGAAAAGAGTGAAGAAGTGTAAGAGTGTTTGAGTGTTTCCTCTTGTACTAAGTTTGTGAGTGAATAAAAATCTTGTGTAATACTTTGAGGGTTCTTTCTTTCTCTTGCCTATCAATTCCGCTGCATTACATTCTCCTTTGCGAGATAAACATCTCCAAAGTAGTGAAGACTTTTAAGCTCCAACAAAGTGGTACCAGAGCTATGGCTAGCAATGCTATGGCAGCCTTCCAAGTTCCAGTACTCGACAACAACAACTTTGATAATTGGAGTATAAAAATGAAGGCCCTTTTAGGAGCACATGATGCATGGGAAGTCGTGGAGAAAGGCTACACTGAGCCAGAAGATGAAGCTACTCTGTCCCAACCCCAGAAGGAGAGTTTGAAAGATTCAAGAAAGAGAGACAAGAAGGCTCTCTACCTCATCTACCAAGCATTAGATGACAATGGCTTTGAGAAGGTCTCGAGTGCAACCTCTGCCAAGCAAGCATGGGAGAAGCTTCAAACCTCTTACAAAGGAGCCGAACAAGTGAAAAAGATTCGTCTTCAAGTATTAAGAGGTGAGTTCGAATCTCTACAAATGAAAGGGTCTGAATCAATCTCTGATTATTTCTCAAGAGTCTTAGCCGTTTCCAATCAATTGAAAAGAAACGGAGAAAAGTTAGAAGATGTTAGAATTATGGAGAAGATACTATGCTCGTTGGACCCCAAGTTCGAGCACATTGTCGTGACGATTGAAGAAACTAAAAACTTGGAAGAAATTAGTATAGAGCAATTGATGGGTTCGCTACAAGCATATGAAGAGAAACATAAGAAAAGGCAAGGGAATAATGAGCAGTTCCTCAAGACGCATGTCTAGCCAAAGAAGAAAGAAGAAAGCTTCGACAACGAGAGAAGTCAATACGGAATAAGTCGTGGTCGAGGTCGTGGACGTGGACGTGGTTGGAACTTCAACAACCATAGTAACTACGAAATAGGAGAAAGCTCAACAAAAGGTCGTTGAAACACCCCCACCCCATTTTTTTAAATATTTTTGGTCTTAATTGGTGAGCCCAAGGGGCCCACCCCTGATTTCTGTCCCCAGCCTTCCATATCTCTCTTCCTTCTTCTTCGTCTCTCTCCCCCGTAACTCTCCCTTAGCTCTTTCCCTCTCAGCCATCCCGTACCTCTCTCCCTCAACCTCTCGCATCTCTCTCTTCCCTTGGACTCACTAGGACCGAGTCACCATCGAAGAGAGGCTCGCAACGAACCCCGGACCCTGCCCTGCGAGTTCGACGGCACGGAGTAAGCTCCGGCGAGCACCGCCCCTTTCGAGGCCATTTCCGGCCAAACCACAGCGAGTTGGCCGGCGTGTAAGGTATCAATCTCTTCGTCTCGTCGAGTACTACAACTTTCCTTTTTGTTTCACTTAATTTCGTTGAGTATTGAAGAAGTTATACTCATTTGAATCTTACCCAGTTTCCGGCGAGTCCGACGGCTTTCGAGGCATTTGCCGGCCAAACCACGGCGAGTTAGACGTCGTGTGAGGTACCATTCTCTTCGTCTCTTCAAGGGCTACAACTTTCGTTTTTGTCTCGCTTGATTTCGTTGAGTAGTGACAAAGTTATAGCCATTTAAAGTTAGGTGGTTTTCCGGCCGAATCCGGCTTTCTTCTTCGGCAAACCCAGGCCTCTCAGGCCATTTCCTTCGCCCACGGGCCTTAGCCCGTTTTAGTCCAGCCCAGAACCCAATATCCAGGCCCGCACCCTTTTTATTTTTTAGTTAATTATTTTTAATGGTGTCCAAAATAAAATTTGGGTGTAAACAGAATATTCCTTTTCCTTAAGTAGAGATTGTTAGGACCAAGATTATCAACTTATTTAACCCTCAAAAGATAAAAAGATTGGAAAACTAAAGAAAAATGTTTGGAAACTTTGAGTTTTAACGATAAAGACGAAATAAAGGGTAAATGAATAGTACATGATTGATTTTTTAGTGTAAAAATATGATTTTTTGTTAAAGTAAACAGTACCGAAAACTTTTCATTAAAGTTCTCTAAAAAGATTTACCTAACTAAAGAGCCTAAAAAGCCCAACTGTGACTTATGAGGACACAAGGGAGATGTGTGTGATACTTTCATTGTCGAGTGTGTGTTGTTGAAATAGCTGGACTTGAATCAATTTATCTCTCAAAAGACAAAATAAAAAAGAGAAAAATATAGAAAAAGAACCACCGCCCACCCCCACCCTTACAGTCTGACAATCTCCCACCATAGTCGAACCCAGCCTCCAAGCCGACAACCATCTATTGTTTTCGTCCCTCCCCTTTGTTTCTTTTCCTTCTCACATATCTGTTTGATAATAATGTAATGGTTTAGTGGTCATATGTGCAATTGAATCTTTATAAGATTTTATTTGCGAATGATTGATCTGCCTCCTACTCTTCAATCTTAAAAAATTTCAAGTTAAGGACATCAAAGTGTGTCCAAATTGAGGTTACATTTACACGAAAAGAAAAAAAAAGAAGATAAATGGGAGAGAGGAGGAGACTAGAGAGGAGGGAAAAGAGAGGGAGGGGGACGGTGCGTCGGCTGCGACAGAAAGAGGCATCGCTGGTTAGGGTATGCTTTACTGAGTCGGGCTGTCGGGTGTGGGTCATTCTTTTTTTTTCTTTTCTTTTTCTCTTTTTCTCTTTTTTCTATCATTTTTATTTTTAGGTTTTTATTTTTTTTAGTACATCGATATTTTTATATTAGGAGGAGGGAGAGTTCGGTTAAACTACATAAGGGGCAACCTAATTTGGTATCGCATTTGCAATCTATGAGATTTAAACCTAAGACCTCTCATTTCTAAACGAATAACAATATTACCAGTTCGTAGTATTGAATAGACCTGGCAGTTTTTGACACGACACGAAAACGACACGAAAATAACGGGTTTCGGGTCAACACGATAACTTATCGGGTCACTATCGGGTGACCCGTTAAGAACCCGTTAATAGGTATACACGCGGGTAACACGTGGGTAACCCGTTTCGACCCGTTAAGAAAAAAATTATTTTAATAATTTTAAAGTTTAATTACTAAAAGATTTATTATAAAATACAATAGTCATATTAAGTATAAGATAAGTCCACTAGTGTAAATACTTTAAATTAAAGATCAAATTTATTTATTACATTATTATAGGGTCGAGGAGTGTATCTGTAAAGAATCATCAAAATCGGAGCTAAACTAACCGTTAAATTGTGATTTTTCGTTTATAACCGTTGATAACTTTTGTTCCGTTACGTAATCTCTGAATGTTTGTTTTTTACGATTTTTTACGTATGCAATCTTGGAATGCGTACAAATAAGTTTGACGGTTGGATCGTTAAAAAAGTTTCGTAGAATGCATATTGCGTCAAAATAGTAGATTAAACAAACACTTAAAGTTAATATTATACTTCTATTAAGTATAAAAAAAGATTTTCTCCACTAGTGTAAATACTTTAAATTAAAGATCAAATTTATTCATTACATTCTTATAGGATCGAGGAGTGTATCTGTAAAAAATCATCAAAATCGGAGCTAAAATAACCGTTAAATTGTGATTTTTCGTTTATAACCGTCGAAAACTTTTGTTTTGTTACGTAATCTCTGAATGTTTTTTTTTTACAATTTTTTACGTATGCGATCTTGGAATGTGTACAAATAAGTTTGACAGTTGGATCGTTGAAAAAAGTTTCGTAGAATGCATATTGCGTCAAAACAGTAGATTAAACAAACACTTAGAGTTAATATTATACTTCTATCAAGTATAAAATCCACTAGTGTAAATACTTTAAATTAAAGATCAAATTTATTTATTACATTCTTATAGGGTCGAGGAGTGTATTTGTAAAAAATCATCAAAATCGGAGCTAAAATAACCGTTAAATTGTGATTTTTCATTTATAACCGTCGAAAACTTTTGTTCCATTACGTAATCTCTGAATCTTTATTTTTATGATTTTTTACGTATGCAATCTCGGAATGTGTACAAATAATTTTGACGGTTAGATTGTTGAAAAAAGTTTCGTAGAATGCATTTTGCGTCAAAACGATAGATTAAACAAACACTTAAGAGTTAATATTATATTTCTATTAAGTATAAAATAAGTTTTTGTTGGTATCCACCAGTGTAAATACTTTAAATTAAAGATCAGATTTATTCATTACATTCATATAGGGTCGAGGAGTGTATCTGTAAAAAATCATCAAAATCAGAGCTAAAATAACCGTTAAATTGTGATTTTTTGTTTATAACCGTTGATAACTTTGGTTCCGTTACGTAATCTTTGAATGTTTGTTTTTTACGATTTTTTACGTATGAAATCTTGGAATGTGTACAAATATGTTTGACGGTTGGATTGTTAAAAAAAGTTTCGTAGAATGCATATTGCGTCAAAATAGTAGATTAAACAAACACTTAAAGTTAATATTATACTTCTATTAAGTATAAAAAAAGATTTTGTGGTATCCATTAGTGTAAATACTTTAAATTAAAGATCAAATTTATTCATTACATTCTTATAGTGTCGAGGAGTGTGTCTGTAAAACATCATCAAAATCAGAGCTAAAATAACCGTTAAATTGTGATTTTTCGTTTATAACCGTCGAAAACTTTTGTTCCGTTACGTAATCTCTGAATGTTTGTTTTTTACGATTTTTTATGTATGCGATCTCGGAATGTGTACAAATAAGTTTGACGGTTGGATCGTTGAAAAAAGTTTCGTAGAATGCATATTGCGTCAAAACAGTAGATTAAACAAACACTTAGAGTTAATATTATATTTCTATTAAGTATAAAATAAGTTTTTCTGGTATCTACTAGTGTAAATACTTTAAATTAAAGATCAAATTTATTCATTACATTCTTATAGGGTCAAGGAGTGTATCTGTAAAAAATCATCAAAATTGAAGCTAAAATAACCGTTAAATTGTGATTTTTCGTTTATAACCGTCGAAAACTTTTGTTCCGTTACGTAATCTCTAAATGTTTGTTTTTTACGATTTTTTATGTATACGATCTCGGAATGTGTAAAAATAAGTTTGACGGTTGGATCGTTGAAAAAAGTTTCTTAGAATGCATATTGCGTCAAAACAGTAGATTAAACAAATACTTAAGAGTTAATATTATATTTCTATTAAGTATAAAATAAGTTTTTGTGGTATCTACTAGTGTAAATACTTTAAATTAAAGATCAAATTTATTCATTACATTCTTATAGGGTTGAGGAGTGTATCTATAAAAAATCATCAAAATCGGAGCTAAAATAACCGTTAAATTGTGATTTTTCGTTTATAACCGTCGAAAACTTTTGTTCCGTTACGTAATCTCTAAATGTTTGTTTTTTACGATTTTTTATGTATGCGATCTCGGAATGTATACAAATAAGTTTGATGGTTGGATCGTTGAAAAAAGTTTCGTAGAATGCAAATTGCGTCAAAACAGTAGATTAAACAAACACTTAGAGTTAATATTAAACTTCTATTAAGTATAAAATAAGTTTTTGTGGTATCTACTAGTGTAAATACTTTAAATTAAAGATCAAATTTATTCATTACATTCTTATAGGGTCGAGGAGTGTATCTATAAAAAATCATCAAAATCGGAGCTAAAATAACCGTTAAATTGTGATTTTTCGTTTATAACCGTAAAAAACTTTTGTTCCGTTACGTAATCTCTGAATGTTTATTTTTTACGATTTTTTATGTATGCGATCTCGGAATGTGTACAAATAAGTTTGATGTGTACAAATGACACACCCCGATCCTAGAATCAAGGCGTGCATGCCACCTCCAGCGCCGATTCAGCAGAGCTTTGGACCAGGCAGCTATGGCCAGTCGGGTCGTGGTGGTGCTTACCACTACCAGGGTGACGCTGCTCCTTATGCTTCCGGACTGTATCAGTATCCCCAGGAGCCTTATCCTCAGACTGGGTATTCCCAAGACCTTGGGGGTTATTCTTCTTATTCATCCATGCCAGTTGGTGGATCTCAGTGGCATCAGGGAGGTCAGCCCCATCAGGGGGAAGTTGTTGCTAGTGGTGCAGGATCATCTAGGTAGTCTAGTCAGTCAGGCCAGGGACGTACTTCTCAGGGGCGAGGTAATCAAAGCAACCGAGGTCGTGGTGGACGACAGCAAGCTCAGGGACGTGTTAATCACATCTCACTGCAAGATGCTCTGATACCAAACTGACACACCCCGATCCTAGAATCAAGGCGTGCTGGCCGTCACGCTCATGTGACGGCCAGCATGCCTTGATTCTAGGATCGGGGTGTGTCATCAAAACAATAGATTAAACAAACACTTAAAGTTAATATTATACTTCTATTAAGTATAAAATAAGTTTTTGTGGTATCTACTAGTGTAAATACTTTAAATTAAAGATCAAATTTATTCATTACATTCTTATAGGGTCGAGGAGTGTATCTGTAAAAAAATCATCAAAATCGGAGCTAAAATAACCGTTAAATTGTGATTTTTCGTTTATAACCGTCAATAACTTTT